CGATCCCAAAATTGAGCTCGACTTTGATTCACTCCCACCACTGGATCTTGAGAAATTTCCATGTATGACTGACATAGGTGTTGATCTTCGTCAGTTGTGTAGTTGGTTCCCGTCGACACAAGAGACTAAGCGGAAATTGATATACACTTGAGAGAGTTATTTTTGCATGGTAATGGTGGAATGGTATGTACTGAGAGACGACATTTTATAGTGAAAAATAATTTTATTTAAATTTTTGGATAAGAAATATACAGTTCAGATTTTTTATAAGGAAATCATGTTTAACGACATGGATTATAAGTTTAGATTTTTAGCCTTATCTTTTTGAGATAAGATATGATAAGGTGAGAGAAGATATTATTGTTTAATTTATTTTTTAAGATAAGAACTATACAGTTCAGATTTTTATAAGAAAATCATGTTTGACGGCACTGATTAAAAGTTCCGATTTTTATCCTTATTTTTTCGAGATAGGATATGATAAGGTGAGAGAAGATATGGTTTTTTATTTATTTTTTTAGATAAGAAGTATACGGTTAAGATTTTTTATAAGGAAATCATGTTTGACGACACAGATTAAATGTTCAGATTTTTATCCTTATCTTTATGGGATAAGATAAGATAAGATTTGAAGGGTCGGATTTTAATGATATATCATCCTATGGCCTAAAATTGTGATGGTAGATTTTCTTTACTATTATTTATATGGATCTTTTGTATCATAGCATCATTCATTTTTAACTTTTGCCTTTCAACCAAATATGAATCCCAATTACGTAGGCTCTTCTTATGCATTTTCCTCTTCTAGTTCATCTGATGATGAACTAGAACAACTTTTAAATAGTTACGATGAGGAACAACAATTGATATCTCAACAAATTTACTCCAAGAACTTCTTGAAACACAAAATTTTGGTCGGAGACATGGAGGTTCAGTTCCTGGTCGCAAAACAATTTTTCGTGATCGAGAAGCGGCTGATGATCGCCTTTTTAATGATTATTTTTCTGAAAATCCAAAATTCAATGACACAATTTTTCGTAGGCACTTTCGAATGTCTCGAAATTTATTCATTCGTATTGCAAATGCTGTGAAAATCATGATAACTATTTTTTGCAGCAAAGAAATGCAGCCGGGAGACTCGGATTGTCTACATTTCAAAAGTTAACTGCTGCAATTCGAATATTGGCTTATGCAGTACCAGCTGATGCAACTGACGAGTATATTAACATTGGTGAGTCCACCGCAATTGAGTCTGTAAGAAATTTTGTCGTGCTATTGTTGAGATATTTGCAGAGCAATATCTTAGATCACCAAACACCAATGATATTGGTCGACTTCTTCATATTGGTAAGGAACATGGCTTTCCGGCAATGTTAGGTAGTCTAGATTGTATGCACTGGCGGTGGAAAAATTGTCCTACTGCGTGGGATGGTGCTTATGCAGGGCGAAGTAAATCACCGACTATTATTTTAGAAATAGTAGCTGATTATGATCTTTGGATATGGCATGCATACTTTGGTATGCTTGGGTCCAATAATGACATTAATGTGCTAGAGCGATCCCATTTATTCTCTGATCTTACTAGGGGAATTGCACCAACAGCACATTATGTCATACAAGGAAAAGAATATAATATGGGTTATTATTTAGCTGATAGCATATACCAAAAATGGTCAACTCTTGTCAAACTATTTGTGACCCACGTAGTCCAAAAAAAAATATTTTGCTATGAAACAAGAAGCATGTAGAAAGGATGTTGAACGTGCATTTGGTGTCTTGCAAAGTCGATTTGCTATTGTTGCCAACCCTGCCCGATTTTGGAGCAAAGACGACTTACAAGATATAATGACTGCATGCATTATTATGCACAATATGATAATTGAGGATGAACGAGATCTTGATGCACCGATTCAAGCTGCAAGTGAGACACCGACTCCTGATATTGAAATAGTGGGCAATGAAGATTCTCAATTTCAGACGTTTGTTGCTCGATATAGACGAATTAGAGACCAAGAAGCACACCTTACACTTCGTAATGCATTGATTGATCATTTGTGGGAAGAATATTCTAATTCAGTCAATTAGATGTATTATAGTTGTACCTGTGTTTTTTTTTTATCTTGTGTGTGCATTTTTTTATTTGATATCATGTAATTTCTATTCCTACTCCCTAAATTTATTTAAATA